GCACAGGCACACACAAGCCCCCACCCTGTCAGCAGAGGTCCAGATAACACCCCTGAGTCAACACTGCCTTTCTGCTTTTGTTGTCTCTGTCTCTCCTCTTTTTTTGCCTCCCACGTTTGAATCCTCGTGGAACCACATGGACTGGGGCTGTAAAGATGTAGGGATGAGGGACAGAGAGTGAGTGAAAGACAAAGAAAAAGAAAGAGAGAAAAGGGCTAAACTGCAGCATGGGAATGCAAATAAATGTGTTTTATATTGGGGGGAGCCAAGGAGGGCACGCAGGCTTTACTCTCCAGGCAGGAACCCCCACCCCAACTGTGGTCTCTGGATCAGTTGCAGCAACAGCAAAGGGAGGAAAAGCGAACATTCTCACTCTGACTTTTTACTTGGGGAGGAATAAAAAAAGAAATACAACAAGTACAAAATCCACAACTCTCAGAGGCTGGTGCAGTCGTAAAATAAAATATTTTGCTATGCTTTTACACCACTGCCTCCTCCCCCTCCTCCTCCTCTTCCCATCCCTCCTTCACTCCCTCACTCTCCTCCAGCGCCCGTAGCAGAATCACATTAAAGTTGCTGAAATATGGGCACAAGTCACAGCCTTACCAAACCCTCTGCTCCACTGCTGCCACCTCCCCCGTTTAGAAAAACAGGCTGAGACAGCGTGCATGTGCAAGAGGGAATGGGATGGGGAATTGAGGATGGAGGAAGAGAGGTGAGCCAGCTGCAGGTGGTCTCCAGATGTGGAGGCTGTGAGGACAGGCCGCTCTGGTGCTGTTAAGGGCGACACAGAGCTCCCCCTTCCCCGTTTCCCTTCCATCGCTCCTCCCCCTCTTTCAGTGACAGGAGCCATCTGGCCTGGCAGGCAGAGTGGAGACACAGCAAAGAGTTCCACCCTCCCAAGTGTGGCCCCTGCGTGCCACACAGCAGAGTGCATGAGTAAATAAAATGCACGTACACACACACGCACACACAATACCTTCTGCTTTCCCCCCTAAGCTGTCATATGGCTATTAACCCATCAAAGCTGCAGCCCAGCTGTGCTCCATTATGATAAATACACCAGGGTTGCGGGGTCTTGTCAACCAGGAGTCAGCCATCAGATACCGTGAGGTGTCCACTTACAGCCTTTCAAGGATCACTTTGTTAAAGAGTTACAGCCATTTTCATCATCACAACCTCCCTTGCTTCATCTGCAACACCCTCTGAAAAGACACTCCCACCCAC